ACGTCTGCTGCACATACTAGACGCAAACTTAGGGTCCTAGTAGTTAGTATAAGCCATTTATTTGCCTCTGGTTTGTCCTCGATGTATTTCCTTCGCACATCAGGAGACGATGATGCCCGCTCACTGCGTAGGCATAGAATAAGAATCGTACAAAACGATCAAGTTGTTTTCAGTTCTAGTATTTACAACCCGTAACCAAGCTCTTTCGTGCACCGGTTTACGTTATCTTTTGGCTAACCATCTGGATAAAAGAGCAGAATGAAGAATTGAATGGTGAGAGCAAGGTCGAAGGAAAGCCCGAGAATTCATAAAGACTAGAGTTGAAAGAATCATGAAGAGATGCACGAATGCTACAGTTTGCGACACTCAGTCATACAACTCAGTGTCTCTGACCACCGGTTACCATAATCTCGGAGTCGCCATCCAGGGAGCCTAAAGGTTCCTATGTGACCCAGTGTACTGGTTAGAGTTTTCATAGCCTCATGCCAGGTCTTAGTTTGATCTCCCTCGACGTTTTCCCAACCGCTGACTGTTTGAGCAAACATCGCGCGCCGTGGCAACCTATTTGGTGATATGCGCAACACATGTTACATGTCTATAGAGATCAATCAATTGCTTCAGTGGACGACCGCGATTACCTAAAAATCTGCGCTAAGCATCCGCATTGCTTGTCCGGTTTCCCCACCAGACTCTTGCAATGCGGCGTAGGCAGCGGTGTTTGAACACCGAGAATCTATCTCTACCATGTGCCCGTACTAATCAAGTCTCTGCATCGTAGAGCAGAACTGGCCGANATATCGCGACGGAGCCACCGATGCCCCAAGTTGGTAAATGCCAACCAAACCGTATGTATACGCGCCGACACATCATCTGTGACACGTCCGCCAGGTGAGATATAGCTGCCCAGATAGCAAAATTTGTCCATTTCATCTACTACTTCCCCAGTTAGAGTGAGGCTGGGGATTGAAACAACCTTATCTTGTAGCATTAATCTACACGTTTAAGGTGCGAAACGCATACCGAACATGGCTACACCGGCATTCAATCTATCCAGAAGAGCTTACGACTTGTATCGATTTCCGTTTAGCAGCACAATGTCGACAAAATACTCCAGATCAGTCTGCATCTGGGAGAAAATCGACGCCACTATACCGGCACGAGGATAGAGGTGTTTTAAGAATTAAATCTATATGAAAGTTAAACGGAAACGGAGAGCAACCCTGACAAAACACCCCCTTATGTTGAGAACCGGGGCGAAAAAGTGCTGTAAACTCGGACTCGACTTCGGCTATTAGTGTAAAGGGATCGTAATATTAAGATAATCTCCTCGGACACACCCTACAGAGAGAGGCAGCGCCAGAGTTTAGAGCGGACGACTGAGTCGAAAGCTGAATTCAGATCGAAGAAGATAGAATTGTAGGTCTAAGAAAGAAGTGCCTGTGTGCCTGAAGATGTGGTCGATACAACCTCAACCAGGTCTGAAACCAGCCTGGTTCTCACGCGTGCGCAGTTCACGTAAAGCAGAAAATCGACGGAGTACAATATCAGCGACAAGTTTAGAACTTATATTGATTAGACTAATTCCTCACACCAATCCGTTGGAACATGTTCCATCTCCCACACTGAGCACAGAAGTTTCGTCAACTCCAAGACTAAGGATGGTCGCCACATACTGACCAGTCAGCGAAACCATGTGTTAAAAGCGGAAGGAATATCTACAATAAATAACAACGGCTTGAGTGCTGGACAGAGTATTTTAGTGAATAGTTCTTCTACTGGTCGTGTGCTAGTGCGATTATTCAGGCGATCGCAGGGGAAACTCCGTGGGCGGTACCATGTTCGCCTACAACAATAATAGAAGTACGAGGTTGCACTCAATCGTTAAGGAAACAGAATGAAAGGGGAAATGACGGGCTTCTCCCCACTCGTTTACACAGAGGGGTGACTCATTGATCGTCTCGATTACTAGCATGATGCACAGCATTTGGTCGGAAGAGAGTATCCCTTTATCCTGGGGATGAATTCTTGCTCGTCCCCGTTTTTAAGAAGGGATCACGCAGCGAATGCGCAAACCACCGTGGAATAAGCTTAATTCCGATCATACCAAAAGTAACAACTTCGACTCAGTTGATCGATGTACTGCTTCACAAAAAAATACCGCAGCAGGATGTGAACCTAATGAGGTTACCAACCCGTAAATTTCTGGTAGTGTAGGGGAGTCTACGGTGCACTAAGCAAATCATTCCAGATCACTAGTGGGATTCAGCAAGGCTGTCCTAACCCGCCATTCCTAATCAACTTCATCGTAGACGAAATACTGGTATTGAATGGCTGGATTCAAGCTTTACGATTTAGAGCACGCTCACGATATCGTTTTTCTACTCGAATGTATGGAGGATGCACAAAGTGCTCTAGATAGACTTTTAGGTTTTATTTTTCCGTTTGGTTGGCGCTTTGCACGTGAAAAGTGCAAAGTGGTGTTGCTGATTCTCAGGTTGGAGTGATTGAAAATTAATGTATGCACAAATAGATCATTCAATGTGTCGATCATAGAGATCCACTTTCATTGCTTCCCTCCATTTAGGGACCAGCTCTGTCCATCTTGTGCATTCCCATTTACTTTGTGTGCATTGTGAGCTTGGCAGTAGTGGTCAGTGAGGATTGA